GTATTTAGACACATATTGCCCACATGGCATCACAGTGTTTTGTTTATTCACCACCAGGAGAAGGAATCGCCGCTCATGACGAAGCCGCCGGGTCTTGAAGATGTGGAAGGCATCCCTTGGGCCGAATCAAGGATGAACCCCCGAAAGTCCGACAGAATTTTGCGGACAAGACCAATCCAATAACTATGAAGGGGTCTGTCTTGACATGTTTTTTGTGAAGTGGGCCGACCTTCAGGCACAATCCTGCGATCACTATGATCACTTGCAATTTTTGATGGGTAAAGAATGGTAAAAGTCTATTTGAATGATAACTAATGGCATTAATGGTGGATGATTCATGATGATTCCAGTTCCCAGAGGATGGGCGAATCTTCAGACTTCAGGCAGTGATTATCCAAGCCTTTGGAGCCGCTCCACTACCGCAGGCGTGTGGACTTGGAACCGATCCTGTCCTGCGAAGCTGTACTTTTGCCACAGTTTTTGCAGATTCGACTCCCCAACTTGTTCAACTTGATGCCAATCCATTCCCAAGCTCCTAAGAAGTGCCTTGAAATGCCAATCCATTTGGGCACGACAAGGTACGGTGGACAGCTATGAGCCTGATCCCATCGCAGATGAAGTTCTTGCATCTGAGATTGCCACCGTGCTTCACATGATGCAAACAGGCTCGAGCTGGAAACATGTGGAAACCCTCAATGATTGGGGCCGCGTGTTGAATGCTGCAGCATGGTTTTCTTTGCTGAGATCCTTATTCTTTGAGGGACCATACCATCTCACATTCTCAGTTTGTTGATTCAAAAAGCATCTCCGGAGGAAAGTGCTCTCCGCCTTGGCTGGGCCAAACCCAGCGCAAATCAAGGAGCCTGGTTTTTGGGTCCCACGGGTCCAGGAAATCGGTGCAGTTTTTGCATCGCCAACCAGAGGCTAGGTCGAACTGTCAAACTATGGATTTCTCTGAAAATTTTGGGGAAGAAAACCATTTCTCGAATCGGAATAAATCATCAGTTTCGCGGATTGAACATGGGCATTTGGGGGAGGTGTTGCTTTTGTTTTTGTTGTTGACACAAATGATGTTGTGTAAAGGATATGCCTGGACCATGTGAGGCAAGGTTTCATAATTGCTCAAGCAGCCTTTGACTCGGATTGAAAGAAAACATCAGCTCCGTTTTTGTCCCTCATTTGGGTTTGCAACAATTTGCATTGGACTGGGCAGCACAAATCACATATATATATATCATATGATGATCATCCTTATCATCTTAGAGGTACTATCATCATTAATGATGGTCAATGATGTATATTTTTTCCATCCATTTTGCCCACTAAGATAGCCCTTCTCTTGGTTCCCAGGACGCGAGTACCTGAAGTCCGCGGATCGCCCTTCTGGCCCGCTCCAGGTGGCCTCCCTGGTGATTTTTGATCGATTTTGGGTGATTTTCAAAGATGGCCCCGAGATGAAGATGATCTTGGTGGCATGGAACAAGTAAGATGTCTTGGTGGTTGGGATTTTATTAATATCGCTTTGGCAATGATACATGTCAATGTATAGCAATTGGATGCATTTGGATTAATCATTTCATGTGTTTGACTGCTTGACGATGCCAAAATTCGGGATACTTGCGTCAGAAAGTGGTTGGCTTGACATTGCCCAGTGGTTATTTGGATGCTTATTTTTTCAACATTTCCACCTGTGGTAATACCACAAATTCAATGTTTTTTGGTTTAATATTTCCGAAAGGAAATTGAGCTCTGGTGTGTGCTTCACTTCCAATGTCAGCAGGTGATTTTTGTCATCCAGTGCCGGCCAGGAGCATATCTCCCTTTTGCACCTGGACAGGCTCATTTCTGAACCTTGGCAACGAAAAGTGGGGAGCTGTTGCGGGTGCTGATGGATCTCTCCATGTTTTCTCATGGTGGTTTCTCATCTGTAAAAGTGTGAAAACATGATGGCACATGTTGAGAGATGCTGAAACGTGTTTCATATCCTCAACTGGTGCATAGCTGCATAGGATTCTATATACATAGATAGATTTTGACTGGTTACATCCCTGGTGTTTCGGAACCGGAAGGAGATAGCCTGTCCTAGCATCACTTGCTATCCACTAGGAAACCCTCTTGTTATTTGTATGTCCAGAAAGACTGCTTTTGGTAAGTTTTGGTGTCATGACCATGACAAAGTTGGCAGCTTGCCTCATTGCTCCATCACTAGCGCCAACTCTACTGGTCTCAGGTCATATTTTGGAATCAAGTTTATTCAAGTCTCACTTGATCTCCTTTAATGTGGTAAACTCAATGCCATAAACCATCCTCAAGTCATCACCATTTCTATGGGTTGCTTAGACCATCCCCAAATGATGGCTTCATTGTTGGGTTTACTTCGAGTTGTCCCATGCTGTATCTAGTATTGTTGGTTATGTACCCATTATTAACCAACAATAATGGTCATTAACAATTAATTAACCCAACAATACTTAGTACCATCACTACTATGGCCTATTAACCACCATGTTATTAATACATTAGCATCATTTATTAATTTAACATAGTGGTTAACCGTTAACCACTATTATTGTTAATCATTATTATATATGATATAACCATTCTATTATTGTTAATCATTATTATTATATAACCATTATTATTAACCAGTAATAGCCATTAACATCCATTCACCATTGCGAAGCACCATCGCGACGCAAGCCTCCGGCAGGTCCATGGTGCGGATCCGCCCGGATGATCTTCCACAAGTTCTGTCCCCTCTGTGGCGTTTCTCGGCTGCCATGGAGGGTCCCATGGATTCCCCACCTATATGGTGACTATATGGTGACTATATGGTAAATCCTGGTCCCATGGTCCCATGGTGATTGCCGCTGATACAAAAGCCATTGCACATTCGAAAGAGCTGCGCGATGAAGCTAGAACTGGTTGTCAGTTCTTGAGCGCAGCTCCAACTGTTTCACGTTGCTCACTTGGAGAGACTACTTCACAACCACCACCCTACTGTCACACCAATCCACGTAATGCCTACCTCAGTCATTGCAAGAATATGGGTATATATATATATACATTGTCACCATGGCTTCCACAATATGGATAATGTTCGGATGGTTTCCCAGCGCCTCTTTTTTCCAGCGCCACGACTTCAGGTGTCCTACCCAGATGTCGACATGCAACTCGAGCCTTCACTGGAGAAACAATTTATCCAGCATCTGACCTGCAATAAAGGCCACAGTCACAATGTTTTATGTGTGGTTATCATATTTATCATGTCCCGGACAGACATGATCAGACCTGCAATCCCCCATTTTCATCAGTGAAAACCGCCATGTTTAAACGGAAAGCACGAAGATCTTGACACTGCGCTTCTTGTTTCACGGTCTTCATACCTATAGTCTCAACTGCTAGCCCTGACGTTGTGCCACCGGCAATCTGAGGTATGCATTTGGAACCCAAATGTAGGCAGACTTTTTGAATCCGCGTCTCGCACGGGTCCCGCAGATGCGCAGTGAACATGATGGGCCCAGAAGTTCATTGTGTTTCATTTAAGGGCATGGGTTTGGACAGGATGACCTGTCTGGTCACCTGCATTTGCTTAGAAACTTTTGGACCTGGTTGGACCTGGTTGGTGGTTTCAACTCAAAAGCAGAGCATATTTTTGGGATGAAGTGAAACCACCAACTGGCACGTTTTGCTGTTGCCCTGTTCTTTTCATGTTTTTTTCCCCGTGCTCTTTTGGTTTTGGTTCTTCCAACGCAACGTTGAACTCCAGAATGTGGAGCCCCCCACCCAGTGCCTTTGGACAACTGAGGTTTAAGCCCCCGGTTCTGCAACACTGCAAGACGTCTGAAAGTGTCTTGAATTTCTTTGGCTGATGCCTGACGTGGCGCAGCCCAGGAGTGGAAGAAAGTTGGACAGGAACCATGATGAATGATGGCGCCACCTCTCTTTTGCCTCAATTTTGTGCTTCGTCACGTCAGTACGGTCACGGAAGCAATGGCTACAGATGCTGCTTCCTCCCAGTGGGCTATCAGAGTCCGCAGCCTTTGGCCAGTGATGCCTTGCGTGCAGCATGCATATGGAGTGTGCACGACATACTTAGACGTAGACTATTGATGACTATGGTATGTGTATATATTATATATGATCACATATGTGATATATGTATATACCCTGTTCTTCAATGTTGAAGGTAAACATCGAATTTGTCAAACACAAAGTTTAACCTGCTTAAACATCGTATTTCTTAGATACATTTAGATACAATGTTCAACAAGGCAACATGTTGAATTCAGCAATATGTTGAATTATATTATGGAAGTTGACGTATGTTGACGGATTGCCCCGAGCCATAAAAACCCAGCCGGAATGAGTTGGATTGCGAAATGTCGGTGAAGTTTGTGTGAAATACCATGTTTACCCGTGAAACACCATGTGAGTGGCGGTTTTTATTTGGTCAAATGAAGAGAAGTAATAGTATTGATAGTATTGGGGCGCACGGGTGCCGAAAATACACTATTTAGGTTGCAAAACGAGGTACGGAGACCCGAGAACAAGGTAGGCAAAACGAGGTCCGGGAATGGAACACCGTGGTAGGAACGCCCCGTGAATTACGTGATTTACAAAATAGATCCAAATATTGTTTGCGGCCCACGTATACCCGTGAATTTCGCGTGAAGTTTGGAGCCTGAATTTAAGACTTCCTCGACACAGTCTTCAATACGAGCACGCTTCCAGGCCGATTGTGATTTCGGGACTCTTACTAAGGAATTGGTCAAGAAGTGATTTTGCTGGTTGAGCATCGTATTGGATGAAATACCGAGTTAAACATCCTACTTGAACAAATCGTATCTTAAATGTCGCATTTGGACGAGGCTGGTACTGTATATATATAAATATTGAACATGCATGTATAGTAACATAAATGGATATGGCACATATGATATTACTCGTATTCATCATATTTATAATATTAAGCGTATTCATCATATGCATCATATGCATCATATTACTCATACGAATCGTATCAATGTATCAATAATGTTAATCCTAATTATTTGTCATATTAATCATCATATTATTCATATTCACAAATATGTATATATATGTACAATTATACACACCTGTATATGTATACGTGTACTCATGTACATATGTACACATGTATTCGTATATGTTATATGCAGATATTATGCACATGCAATTCACTGATGTTTCACTGTGACATAAATCAATGCAACATTGTGAAGAGAGCTGCCATGGCTTGATTTGTAAGCTGAAGGATGCCACTCTGGAGACCGCGAAACTTCGAATTCAGTGCTTCGTTGATTCCAATGTGGAGTTGACTACCCAAGCAAGCCAAGCATGCCGAGCAAGCAGCGCAGCGGTTGGTTTGAAGCTGCTTGGAGTAGAAAGTTGCCTCGCCCATCACCACAATGTTGCGCAAAGAATTGGCTTCTGATTACTATGTCTTGAGCAAGATCTTATTTTCATGCCGCAGGTTTCTGTGGTTAAAAGGCGAGTGTCTTTTTTCAAGGAGGGCCGCTGCGTGGGACATCATGGTCATGTTTTTTTTTTTTTTGTAAGCTCATAAACAGGTTTGTAGATGTGAAAATTGAAGGCCACCAGATTGAGCTAACCGGGTACAATGAATTGCTCAATGAGAGCCCAGCACTTTAGCACATGCTGTGACCTAACCACAAATCCATATTCCCAATAATGGCCAGCTTGTGACTGGATACATCTTTCAACATACTACTTATAATACACTATGATATCATATGATATCTTTTTGTGAGGTAAGTTGCCGGTTTTTCAGATTCTTTGGAGGCTAGTATCCGGCCAAATCTTTGGGTGTTTTCCCCATTTGAATCCGAGGGATTGTCCACAGCTGCCTCTCCACACCGACCAGCCTGGCATAAGACTGTCGCCAAATCTGGTGTACGGTTTTGGCATCAGGATCCAGGTTCCACGGTCTTTGGTCGCAGCAATGTAAAGATTCCCAACGACTGAGACATTGAATGACTACATGATGTGCAAGAACAGGTCTTGAAGTAGGGAAGAGTTGATTGGGTTTAGGATGTTTTAAGTAATAAATTCTTGTAGCTTCGCAAATATACTCAGAGAAACCTAAGACGAGACGGTCCGGCACCCCCCCAATCATAGCACTCTAGCACGCTGAATGTGGACACATATCCTTTCGTGCAATGTTCATTATTTATGCTGTCTTTCTTTGATTATAAAACCACAATTCCATTTTGCATGACTGGATGACTCACAACAAAATATACTTGATCCCCATTGCTTGAGGATGTTCAATTACCAATCGACCAATCCCCATTTTTTGTGTTCTGATGATTGAAGAAATGGGAGGATTTGGGCTGCTTCTGACCAGAACGTTCCGGACTGTGACGGTCAGCTTATATAGTAGGAGACATACGTTTCTCTATCACCACTCCTTGTGGCAAACCATACTTTTTTCTCCAATACTAATATCAAGAAAAAAACTGATTTTTGTCAAAGATTTAGTAATCATATCGTTTTAATGCGAACACATCAAACACATATTATATTGTGTATATATTAATGTACCATATATACACATTTTTTGTTTTTAACTTATCATTATTTATGTTAAGTGGTTGGAAAGATATCTAGGCAAATATCATATTTACAGATGACCGTAAATCGGATAATACAATAGTCCTACAAGTGAATTTTTGGTAGGCCCTTCGTTTTACGATGTTGTCACGGCTGCAGAAAACAAATCAAGGTCAACCAATGCTCTTAGGAATTTCCTCTATAGAATGGGGGGGACATACCCCAGACGAGCATTTTTTTTAATACACAGGTTATCTCTTATTTGTTAGGGCTCGAGTGAGTCCGTCATTTTATACAGATTTTGTCGGGGGTCAGATCAGCATTTTATAGTGATGTTAACCTGCTGGGTGACAGCCATGTCCAACGTCATGGGTTCTCATTCTGTAGAGCTGAAGCATACTGAAGCTGTTATCACATTTAAAAAAAGTACATTACCATACCACACCATACCATACCCTACCTATCCCATGGTAAAACACAGAAATGCCACAATTAGTGCTACATGTTGCTACCACATGCTACAACTTTATCCACATTTTCCAAACCTCCAAAAGCTTCATACCCAAAACTGAGCCATATTACACATATTTACACATAAAAATCACCGTTGACTGGGACTGTTTGGGATATCTTGGGGATTCTGTGTATGTGTTGGTATGTGTTGCAATGTGTTGCTACTCGCTTATAGTGAACTTACCCCGCCCGATCCAAAATCTTGCGTTTGGTTGGGAGAGACTTCCCGGGAAAGTTGCCCCAACACCCGGTTAGTTGGTGTGGAGTAGTTGCATGAGATAGAAAAATATGTTTTATACATAAAACTTGCTTCATTTAGCTTGTGTTTACACTGGTGAACTTGTTGTTTTGTCATGCCTAGCTCATTCATGTGATCATCATGAATCAAACAAATCCAGTCACGTGTTTACATGTCGCCCTGCCGGGGGGGAACCATTCTAGAGTAGTTGCATCGATTCATCTCATTAAAGTAGGTACAATTTAAAGGTGCTTGCTTGTTTCTACAGCAGCATCCTCCTTCCCTCCTTCCCTCTTTGGCTCTCGCTCTCGCGCTCTCTCTCTCTCTCTTTCTCTTTCTCTCCCTCCCTCTACCTCCACTGCGCATCGGCCTAATATGGTGATGTGTGAGAAATAGCTGATGCAAACCTTTCTGGTCCTGCTGCTTCTCCTGCTGCTTCTCCTGCTGCTTCTCCTGCTGCAGTGCTGCTGGGGCTGGTACTGGGTTCATGTCGTTTCTTGTCTCGTCTCCCCTGAAGTTGTCCCAGGTCGGTGTGCCGTGGGGAAGTGTGTATAAAAGATATATATGATATTGTCATTATTATTCCATTGGATCATTGCTTATTGTAAGACCACAAAACGCATAGGTACCCTGAACATCACCAACATGAACCTACCATTTGTAGTCATAAACCTTCTTATTGTTTGTTTGTCCATTGCAGGGCACACAATGCAGGGATACACTGGGTCAGGGATGCTTTGCACGACTTATTTGGCACTAGGTGTGCCATTGGGAAACAGATAATTAAACTACTGGATCGATGTTGTAACAAGTGCCGATGACAAGATCTTGTGCCAAATCGTGGTGTGCCTATGGGGACAGGTCCACATGGGCAGCGCCTGTAACTTTAACTTACTGATGTATTTTTTGGCACTTCGCATAGGCACACGATGCTTACCTGTTATATCTTTGTGGGTTTACCCGCTATACTCCTAAAGATGAAAGTCGTGGCTGTGTTTTGCTTCAGATAGACAATCGGACCTTGACATAGGTCATCCTGACCTGTGCCCCAGACAATTTTAGCCTTTAGATATCGGTTCCTACGTCTTAACCAGTCTGTGCCCACTTAAATTTCTCACCGCCGCCTTGTTTGCCAAGCTTGCGTCCCTTTGTCTCCCCTCTGTTTCCCTTACTCGCCCTTTGTCTCCTTTTCTGTCTCCTTGCTCTTGCCTGCAACTGCTGCTTGGCTTGGTTTCCTCGTTTGCTCCATTGCTGAAAGCTCTTGAATTTTACTATTCTGAAAAAAATACGAAAGCGTGTGGCTAAGTCTAAAGACTTTGTCAGGAAATTTAGGGAATCAATCTCCTAAAATTTGATTTCGGACTTCGTTCATACCTTGTTCGGGCCTTATTAAAATTGCAGCTAGTTAAAACCAAACCCGGAGAGGTTTTGTAAAGGCTTTGCAATGGTCTGCTGCTTGGTTTGCTGATGTTTGCTGCTTGATTTGCTGCTGCTGCTGCTGTTGTTATTGCTTGTGTTACTGCTTCTGG